TATTCAGGCCCCTACATTATTGGAGGATCCATATTATAGTTATAGTATAATCTACCCCAACACCCCACAACCCTATGTTGATTCTTAAGGCCCCTACATTCAGGGGATCGGAGTTCAGGGGACCTGTAGGTGTTTTGGGATTAGGGTTCAGGATTTAGGGTTTAGGGTTTAGGGTTTAGGGTTTAGGGTTTAGGGCTTAGGATCCTAGGGTGTTGGGGTTCAGGGTTCAGGGGTTAATTCGTATTAGCGTTTAGCATTTAGGGTTCAGCAAGGGCGTTTGGAATTAAGGGTGTTGATTCTTATAGGATGTGGGATTGAGAGAACCTTTCAAAATTCAGAGTGTTCCTCATGTACGGATTGCTCGTAAGGTTTGCGTACTCTAGGGCCCCCTTAGGGCATCGTTGATTCATCGGCTGCCGTAGAGTTTGGGTTCCCGAAGAGGAATGTCAGCTCTAAGTCTCGGAGAGTGGATAACATCCCTAAACCCTAAACCCTAAACCCTAAACCAGGGATCGCGACTTTGAGGCTGAAAGGTATCGGGCCTGCGCGCTTCGGATGCTTGGGGGTTTCGTGGAGTTAGGGTCGGGTTTATTTTTGGTCTGCTTTTCGCAGGACTCTGGGGGATCGGCATGCGAGTCAGTGAGTTCAGGGGTTTATATAGATTTGCGAGCTTCTGTGGGCATCTACAGTTATGGTGCATTAAACAGCCCCAAAGCCTTCAGCCGAGCAGTAGTAACCAGGGTTTAGGGTTGAGGGTGCCTAAACCCTAAAGCCTAAGCCGTGTAGACTAAGCACGCAAAACCTCGGAACCCCAAAACCCTCTAACAGCCCTAAACCCTTAAAGCCCTGAGCAGCTCTGAAGGAGACACCGAAGGTTGCCGTGCGATGTGTGGCGGAGACCAGGATGGGAAACGTGGAGCTTTTACAGAGAAGCCTACACAATTACCAACACCGCCCTTAGTGTTCCTTAACCGAAGGGTCCAAAGGACCCTACAGCTAGGTATGTAGCTGTTGTAATTCTCGTAGTCATGCAGGTTTGCATCCGGGGGAGTATGCAGTATGATTGCCAGGTACCTGGGCCCTTGGGGTAGTGGAATAGTATAACTTATTGCATACTCCCAAATCCTGTTTGGTTGTCCAAGGCCCCAATATCACCCTATGTGTCAAAGTCGATATGTGAACATGATATTCCGGGCGGTTGAATAGCATCAAAAAGACGACAGCCCAAAACCCCATGAGCTCGAAGCCCCAAACCCTAAACCCCAGAGGACCACGCAGCCCCTGGCGTTTGGGGGCGCGTCGGCTCTCCGTGCTCTTACGGCGGGCATGCGGGCAGGCCTTGCGTTCGGACGCATGACACGCGCTATCACCGGATCGCCCTCATCCTATTCAGGTGTGCTCCTTTTGCATAGGAGTTCTGTAAGGGGCTACTGTTGAAGGTATAATGTAGGCATGACATAGGGGCCTCAAGATTTGGAATAGGGTTTGGGGATATGTTTAAGGTGTCAGTGTCTACACCCCCCAAACGCGGCTAAAAGCCTTAAATCCCCACACCCGAAACCAAGAACGGCCCCTAAGGCTTTAGGACGAGTGACACAAGGGACTCGTGAGTTGGAGGGCCCCAAAGCTGAGATCTTCCAAAAGCTCCAGTCTAAAAGCTCTAAATCCCCTCCCAGCACTCGACCCGGACCCTGGGGTTCAGTATCAGCGCCTCTATAACTAGAAAAGGGCCTCATGGGAGCTTTGAAGTTGTTTTTTTCTGTAGGCCTTCAGAGGTAGGAAATAAGTACCACATGGACTTGCGCCCCTGTTGTGATTCACACAGCAAACAGAGAATCCCTGCTTCCAAGCTGTCTATGCAAGTGCTGCAAAGGACAAAGTGTGCAAGGTTGTGTCCTGCACTACGGCTAACTGTCGGAAACCTGGTACGAGCACACAGCAGCCACGTCCCTACCTCTTTCAGCCACCATGGCCACTGCACGGAAACGGCTTTATGGTCTTAAATGTAGGAGGGCAGTGAGGTATTCATATACTAAGGTTTCGACTTTAAACCCTGAACCCACACCTCTACATGAAGACCGTTCTTAACCCTTTAACCCTACACCATAAACCTGTCCAAGTACCCACTAATGAAAAGAATCCCCAAGACGCTAGCCGAGAGTAGCATACAACCCTGCTGTAAGCCCCAATACTAAACGCAAGTGTTTGAGTATTGGGTCCTTTGGACTGTTAGGGAGTTGTCTTCGATGCTTGCAAGGCCTACAGGAGGCAACCTCCTGGCGGATGGTGGAGAGCAGGCAGAAGTAACCCTAAGCCTAAACCTGAAAAGCTTAAACCCTAAACTGGATCGTCACTCAGGCTCTTTGGGGTTGGATCTTGGGATCTAGGCTACGAGGGCCACCTTACAGATTGAGCAGCGCACGATTATTCTAGGGATAGAACTATAGTAAAGCCGAGAGTAGTTCTCAATTATTCACGCCTTTCTACTTTGGCTTTTGGAGCTTCGGGTTACTGGCTACATTTTTCGAGAGTCTTCGGACGATACTGGATCCAGTCTTTCAGTTTCTTGAGGGCTTGCAGCCAACTAAGGCCAATTCAGGCTTCAGCGGCCGACGGCTTTAAGATGTGGCAACGGAGCGTGCGTGCGTTGGGATTGTTGAAGGATTTTGTCTTCCCAGTGCTAACTTTTTCAGGACTGGGGTTTTCGGTTTAGGGGTTGAGATTCCGGGGCAGTAGACTTTTCAATCCCACGCCGCAGACCTACCTCTGTCCAAGAAAGTGTTACTGTACCCCATCACGAGCACTTTGCCATACCTTGCCAAAGCTGTGGACTGACGTGTTGTTTCGGTTGGACTATTTTCTTCTAATCGGACCCAAAAAACAAACATGATATGCTGCAATCCAGGATGTAGCTACTGCGTAGACCCCACATCGTTCGTGACGCAGCCGTTTGCGACTTCGCAACACTCAAACTTCTCGAATCTTTGCACACCAGCGCCCTGGCCTGGCTTCAGGGTTTAGGGTTAGGGTTTAGGGTTTAAGGCTTCTTTGAAACGGTTGTGCCTCCCTTCCCAGAACGCCAGGAATTGAGGGGCAGACTGCATTTCTGTCTTCAGGGCGTCTGTGTGTGCTACATACGTATAACGTATGTGTATATAAATATTACAGATACATAGTATAAAACAATGTGGTATGGTATAATCTAATCTAATTTAATATACTATGTTATAATACAACATAATTAAGTAAAATATAACATAGTATGGTATAATGTATTTCAGTTTAGTATAGTATACGTACATGTATATGGTAACATATTCTTTCGCACTGAATGATCAGATGTAGTGGACCCTACTTTCGGGGTATCATAACACAACTGACGCCACGCGCCGTAGCCTAAATCGTTTTGATTTTTCAGCTAAGTCGTGTTCGTACCGCATTTGATTCCAAGCAGCGAAACCCAATGCAAGATCGTGACATCAAGAAGCGGGCCTTGTTGTTGGCTTCCGGGCCTAAGGTGTCTGCCCGCCCGAAGCTTACATCCTAGGGTCCTAGACTCTCCAAACCCGTGACTGAGGTTGGGGTTTAGGGTCAGCTTGATACCCCGACTTAGCCTTAGCCCCTCAACCCAACAGACCCCGACCCGGTTCAGGGCTGAAGACTAAGGCATTTGCACAAGGGCTTTGGGGTTTAGGCTTCTAGGGAGGTGTTGGCTTTTTGGACTACGACCTGGTTCTATGCAGATCATGTGGGCACCTTTCATTGATCCTTGAACCTTACGCCCCAAACCCCCAGCCACAAACCTTAATACTTAAACCATATGCCACTAAACCTTAAACCCTAAACTTTGCACCATAGGCCCCTCTAAGCCTCAGGGTTCAGCGCGGGGTTCAGTGTACAGGGAAAAAGAGCACGAAGAGATCTGTATCCTTGGCCGAGGTGCCTCGTGACGCCATGGGATCCGCAGCCTCCGCTACCCCTGAAGCTGCTGCTGGGTGTCATTTACTCTAAGCGACTGTCATACAAAATGTCATATATGCATGTCTGTATGTGTGTATATATATATATATGTATTCATATCCACATGTGTATCTTTATATATATATATATGTATGTAATTTTTGTATACGTATACATACATACATACATACATACATATATATATATATATACACACCTATTACTCTTATGTTTTGTGTTTTTTCAGTCTGTTTGTTTGCTTGTGTGTTTGTTTGTTTGTTTGTAGACATACGTACAGATGTACATACATGCATCCATGCATTACACATACAACCACGCCAACACACACAAACTATAAGGTGGTATGTAGTGACTTAGTGGCTTTATACGTACTTAATTATAGTTTGTTGTTACTGGAGTTGGGCAATGCGTGCCGATGCTCCCTATGCCCTATGTTCGTGCACTGCAGCGACAGTGGCAAGTACGCAAAATAAAAACAAGAGCCGAGTAGATTCCCTAAGCCCTAAACCCTAAACCGATTCCGTTGCACATACCGTGCTCTAGCAGGAGGAGCCTAAACCTTGAATTCCCCGTAGTCCGAAATTGAGAAAGCCTACATCCCCACAAAGCCTAAGTGGGCCTACTTAAAACCATCTGGCAGCTCCGAGCCTAAAATTCCTATTCCCCAAACTTAGAGCTCCACTTAAAACCCCAGAAAAAACCCTAGTGTTTAGGGCTTAGAGCCCCAAAAGCCCCGAAATCCCAAAAGCCCTAAACCCTAAACCCTAAATTAGACCCTAAGCCCTAAACCTTAAACCCTAAACCCTACAGAGAACCCGGAGCCTCGCTCTTAAGGTGAAGGCCGCCTCGGAAGATGACCTCAAGAAGTTTGCCGAAGGTGTCTATGCGAAATTGTGAGGTTTTGGGGTTTCGGGACTTGGGGCTGCCAGGGGTTTAGGGTATTTAGGGTATTTAGGGTTTAGGGTTTAGGGTTTAGGGTTTAGGGTTTAGGACTGGATGGATTTAGGATCCGTTTAGGCCTTCAGGGTTTAGGGTTTAAGGGCTCTGACTCTGACTCTATAGCCATGATAATACTGACATATACCGACGGTAGCTCACCGTTTTTTCGCACATATCATATTCATCCCCTCCATTTCTCTCCACTGCAAACGTCGACTAAGACCCCAAGCCCAAGGAGACTTCCCCGACCCTAAACCCCAAATCGCTAAGCCCTACCCCTAGCCCTGTCCCCTAAACCCCAAACAGCAACAAATTGAAAACCACTGTGCCGAATATTTTCCAAATCCATGCCAGGAGCACGGGGGTTCTGCTATAGGACATCTTAATCGAAAGCGTAGTTTGGAGTCATAGCTTTATTGAAAGTATAGGCCTAAGAGTTTAGGGTTTAGTTTCTTTACTGTTTGGTCGAGCATTGTGTAAGATAGAATGCTCAGATGGAAGAAACTTCGTCTGTCAAAGGCGTGAAAAACCTTGCAGGAATCAACAACAGCTAATCACAACAAAACCCCTAAAGCATCGAGACCAAAAACCGTGCTTCAAATCTAAACGTGCGAAACTCCACCCTGTTGTTTGACCCTAAACCCTAAACCCTAAACCCTAAACCCCTAAACCCTAAACCCTAAACCGTACGTGCGAAACTCCACCCTTTGATTTGTGCTCTAAACAAGAAGGCCCAAAATCCTACAACCGAGGCGGAGCTCTGAAGCATGCTTCATACCCTGAATACAGAGCCATTGTACCTAGGGTTTAGGGTTTAGGGTTTAGGGTTTAGGGTTTAGGGTTTAGGGTTTAGGGAACACTTTAAGGAGCCTCTCGAACTCCCCAGAATGAAGAGATCTTTATCTTGCCTAGCTTTTGAAATACCCCGTCCCAAGCCCTAAACTCAAAGTATAAAGAGCCCACACCAAAGAGCTGGGCTTATCAGCCAGTGGTCTGTAGGTTGGCGGCTAGTGGAAATCTCAGGAGCCTGTATCAGGTGTCGATTGCAACAGCCCCGAAAATTGTGCGTGTTCTTCTCAGCAGTAGGGGACGGTATAAATAATCCCAAACGCGATTCCAGGACACAACTCTACCTAAAAACTGTCAAACTGCACTGAAGAAACGAAGACATAAGTTATATAGGACACTACTAAACAAAATCAAAGGTTTAGGAGGTTATATGCTATCCAAAAGGTTTATATACCCAGTACATAATCAGAAACCCGGATAAACACTATCAGCCCTAAACCTAAACCCTAAACCTTATAAGCCCTAAACTCTAAACGTCTTGGACCCCAAACCCCTGTTATGAGGCTTGCCCGATCAGGTTCATGACTGAACACTCGATAGCCGGAGCCTCAACCCTGAATTCTACCCCCCTCCCTTCCCTCAAGTCCGCGTACCTCTATAGTAGATATACATATATATATATATATACATATATTTTTATTTATATATTTATTTATACACATATACTTTGGCCTTACAGTACCCATATAGGGACGACTTTGTGGTCAAAATATATGCTACATGAGTACACGGACCCTAAATTGCCCTGCCTGGGGTGCACCTGATACGACGCCCTGTGCCCTAAACCAGAAACCCCCAAATCCCCAAGACCAAACCCTACTCTTTCTGCGTGCACCAGGCATGACGCCCGAGGACAAGCAGCGCCTTTTGGGCATCCTGGCGCAGAAGGCGACGACCCTGAAGGCCGAGAAGCACCTGGGCAGCACATAAGTATTATATACTTATCTTTGAGCCTCTCTCTCTGTCTGTCTCTCTTTCTCTCTTTCCCTCATATATATATATATATAAAGAAATATAATCAGGTACACACACACACACATATGAATGTATATATATATATATATAGAGAGAGATATAATGATATACATGGATATACGTAGATATACATAGGTATACATAGATGTAAATGCACAGGTAAATAGATATATCTATTTATACATATATATATATATATATTGTGGATTAGGGTGCATTGTTTAGGATTGTGGGGGCGTTGAGGGTTGAGAAGGGATCTACAAGGGTTCAGGGTTTAGAGGGCTTCTTTTAATGGATCTGTACGGGTGTAGGGTTTATATATATATATATATAGATCTATGTACACACACAGAGGTTTCTGTAATTATACGGGATCTAGGCGGGGTTTAGGGTTTATAGGGTTCCTTTAGAGGATCCAGAAGGTTTTAGGGCCTTTTAAGGGTTCCTTTGTATAAGAGCATAGGGCATAGGGTTGTAAGGGTTGAAGGGATCCATACTTGCTTGCGGTTGAGTTGTGGATCTATACAGTCTATACAGGCTCGATATGGGGTCGATAGGGTTTGATAGGGTTAATTAACCAAGGGATCCCCATCCTAAGGCACTTCAGGGTTCTATAGTTCGATATGGGCTTTGGTTGCGGCGTATGGAATTGGCAGCCCGGTGGGCTCTCGATAACTTAGCTGTTGCAGAAAGGCTTCAGGAGGGCACCCTAGTGCTTTAGGGGTTTGACGGTGCTTTGATTTTCAGCAAGGTCTTACAGAGTTGTTCTTATGGGTTGAACACTTGGGTAGTTCAAGTATTTCTATGGCATTTTGGGTACAGGAGCGTTTCGGGGGGGGAGTTGCCGGAGCTTGTCTCAACTTACCGTAAGCTATCACGTGCCCTGTTCGGGGTTCCATGGCGCGAATGGTCCGTGTGCCCAAATAGATAGAATATACTTTGGCCTCGAAGTACCTCAGCTTAGGCTTTGTGTCACGTTGTGGCGTTGCGGCTATCACGTGATGTTTTAAGGGAGCTGCCAGCACACTACTCGGCGGCCTCCCTCCTACTATAGCACAGGTAGCGCACGCCGGGTTTGGGTTTGTGTAGTTTGGACAGCTTCAGAAATCAAACTTATGCGTGTTCCTATGTGTACTTCGCTTCTATGCGGTCTGATGTCATAGGGACCCTTAGAGGGGTAGGGGAGGGGTTCCTTCTTAGGTCCTTATTACTGTGTTAAGGCGCCCTACCCCCCGCACCCCTACCCCCCTAAGGGCCCGTATGACCATTATGTGGATGTCGCAAGGCTCAAGGCTTCGGGGTTGATTCTAGAGGCTCTCTTGCAGGCTCGGGGGTTACAGAGAAGCGGCCATAACCCTAAAGGGTTCTGGAGCATCTTTTGGTAGCTTCAGGGATCTTGAGGTTTCTTTAGTCACTTTAGCCTACAGGTCTTATAGTATGGGGCTGTAGCGCTTTGAACAAGTTTTGTTGTTAGAAGTTGAGTTTGGTGCTCATGTTCTGGCGGTGCTAGTGGTTTAGGGTTTAGGGTTTAGGGTGTAGGGTTTAGGGTTTAGGGGTTTAGGGTTTAGGGTTTAGGGTTTCAGGTCTAGGTGTGTTTTATGATGGTAGTCTTTCCGGAGTTTAGTACGCTGTCAAGGGGGTTAAAACGCGTAACAGTAACGTATGTGTTTCTTGTTTTGGTGACCCAGTCCTAACTCTTACCTTAAATAAGGCTCTGAGGACTTATTTTTCAAGTTGCTGGGCCCAAAGACAATACTAGATGAGGTTGCTGGGCTATTTTGAGCCGTAGGGTTAAATGTAAGCCCTGAACGCCAGCTTGCCGGCATGTAGACTTTCCTTCCCAAGGAAGGCTTCCGGCGTTTCTGTGGCGTATCTTGGCTGCACGATTCCCATCAGACATCCAGCAGTACTTACTCGTGGCGGTTGGGCTGGAATTTGACATGCGAGGTCTTTGTTTGACAGGCCTTGTCAAACAACTATGGTCACAAAACCGGTTCTGAGTAGAGCCTAAGCCATGCCATTGCTCGCTTGTGTCTGAAGCTTGCCATGTTGCCAGTGGGTGGCTCGATTATGTTCCGGATCCCTATCGGCCTATAGGTCATTCTCCCTCATTCTTCGAGTTCATGTATGCATATTGACGGTCGTTCTGAGAACTGCTTGTCCAACTGAGCCCTCGCCGGTAGTCTGTGGTCTTAAGGGTGTGAGTGCAAGATCTAGTAGGTTTACGTCCCAACAAGAGGGAGGAGACGCAAGATTTTCAACGAGGTAGATGATCAGGTCGTGAATCGTTGCAACTAAGAAGTGCCGTGCAAGTTCAGAAAATCAGGCCAGTGCAATTCATTATGTTTAAATTATGTTTATTGACACATTCAGAGTCGAATTGTTAGCAACATCAGCAGCTTCTGCTAGACCCATATCGCTTTGGACATGTCTCCCAGGGTGATCTACTACTCAATGTATGGGCACATGACGGATATGTGCAAGGACTGCTGCCTGTAGTTTGCACAGCAGTTGGTTTCCGGAGGAGAATGTGGAGCCCCATCAACGGCTGCACTATCAACATGCAAAGTCCTTGAGAAAGATGGGGTGTTGTTCGTAGTGAGCGCTCATACTGTTGATGGACAAAATTCTGCATGACCCAAATATAGTATAGTACCATAAATCCCATAGTTTAGGTATATAAGGTCATGCAGGATTTTGTCCATCAACAGTAAGCATTGGGTTTCGAAGTGAAGCAGCACGGAAATCGGAGCCGCCAGCTTGCATGGATATGTCACCGCAGAGCCGCCTGCCCTTTGTCCTCATAAAACTGAGCACACAGGAGATGAAGAAGTGCTGCCGCCTCAGACCATGGGCCGAGGGTTCTGAAGCCATGTTTTACAACTTATGTTATGCTATACTTTATTATGCTTAGACTGCATGAGGTTATGCTAGGTTGCATTATACTATGTTACCACTGTAGCTGCCCCCCTTGCGGTCGCCAAGTCTGCAAGTTGGTCATGACTTTCGCTAC